GGAGCTTGTCCAGATTAGTTTGAGTAGTATTGCTCCAAACAGAAGAGCAATAGAATAATTTACTAAAAACTAAGGCATTTATAATAATAATTAGCGCGTGTTTATTAAAAATATGCTTAACGCGGTTAATTTGACCCAAACGTGACATGCATGAGGATACAGTAGAAACAATATGCTCATTATATGTTAAGTTAGAGTCCAGTGTGACACCAAGGTCTCTTGCAGCCTTAACGGGCTCGAGTTCCTTCCCCAATTATTTTGTGAGACAAGTTTAAGTGTAAAAGACAATTGCGCTTTCCTTCACAAAAATAAGACTTGCACAAAACTTACCTCAAGCAACAATCAACCCTTCTACCAAGAAAAGGTTAAGCCTATGGGATTTTCCCCCTTGAAAACTAATAAAGCATATGAAAGGTGACATTAAACCTAATATACAGTTCAGTAATATTTCTCTAAAACATGTAACAAAAATCTCACAAAAAGATCTTATAACATATGCTGTAGACTCATGGAATCTCCACTGAGGAAGTTGATCTGGGACTTCCTGTTTTTCTCCGAACACTTACGGATATGCTTCGTGTGGGGACCTTCAAACGAGGCGCATGCTTTGTGTGTGATTTGAGGTTCTGTTTGACCAATATCGAATATCTTAAATAACTGGAAATGAAGATGCGTTACGGGGATGGTTTCCGGGGGGGTACTTCTTGGAAATCTTGGTGGGGTTGTGCTAGCCTGTTCCAGGTTCTCAGATAGTGGGGAAGACGCGAAAGTAAAAGGTACCCGAAAAGTACGTTGGCGGGGCGAAAAAGGGGAAGCCCCTTCTCTCCCCAGTTTCCTCCCGTTTTACTTTCGTCTTCGCGCTTTCTCAATTCAGCGGGCCCAACTATCTCGGAGCCTGGAACAGGCTAGGGTTGTGCCACCCGGTTCTCCAAATCCTGACCCTACTATTTCAGACCAAAAAAATGACATTTTCCACACCCGTTTTCAGACCAGACCTCTAAACTCCATGCCCGGTCCCAAATGCATCGTATTTTTAACGTTTAGCGTTGGAAGGAAGCAAAAATCTGGTTTTATGCTGGCTGCAGTCAGCCAAGGCAGGAAAATCACGGTTCCATGCTTTCTCTCTGTTGAAGGATTTAAGCTCCACCCTTCGCCCTCTCGGATGTTTTTGTTCGCTCAGAGATTTTGAAGGTTCTGTGATCTGGCGGCAATACATTTCCCAGTCTCTTTTACGGAAATTATTCGACATTAGATTCTCATACAAACACGGTAATTTCTCACACGTTTGCCTACTCGTCAAGATAGCGTGGAAAACCGTGACAAGGTGTATTATTAAAATCGCTTTAGCGGCACGTCCGTTTTCGAAATCTGTCAACCAAATCAAACAGATATAATAAACCTTGCACACTTTTGCGTAAATAAAAAACACTAGAAATAATTCAAAATAAAGGTTGTGTTTGCATACGTACTTTAACAAAATAAAGCCAAACTTAGTCTAGACTAAATCTCACTTCAATAGGTTGACGATAATCAAAAAATAAAACTTTGTTCAAGTTTCCATTCCCGTAGCATGTTTCATTTCGAAAATACAGCAATTTGAACTTTAGAGTTTTCACAGTGCGTGACATAAAAATAGTAATGCTGTCTCGTTGAAAAAAGTCTCTCCTCTGATTTTTTTAGCACTGTAACCATTTCAAGTATTAGAAAGTGTGTTTATGTGCACGTATGCCAATTCTGGAGTGAAAAGAAAGAGCTTATACAGAAAAAGGGAACTCCAGATTTTGTTGATTTCCAGCGGCCATATTGGTGCACCAAATAATTCAGAAACTGTGGGCCACGAAGGCCTGAGACTTGGACAAATTGTTTATAAATTAGTCTTTTGTAACACTTCATTTTCTTGGCTTTTTCCACTGGACGGTTTCCAATTTATTTTTTTTGTAGCGTGACAGTGAAAACGATCTATATTAAAAGACATCAACTTTACCGTGTTTTGATTTTGTTAGGACACAAAGTCATCATTCAAAGCCTTTTTGGAAAATTTTTGTGGAAATCGAATTAAATTTTCGTTGTTAATCATGTGTTAAAGAATAATTTGTCGAGCGTGAGAAATTGTCCTTGATGCGTGAGAGTTGGCAGGTATACAACCGAATGCATTTCTAAGGTAAAGGAACCTTCGAGTCCTAGTGTAACTTCAGCTAATACAATGCTTACCTCAGTTAAAAATCCCCGATGAGTCTTGAAAGTTCGCTTGATTCGTCAGGACGAAATAGTCTACAAGGAAATCATATTTTGTGAGACAAGTTTAAGTGTAAAAGACAATTGCACTTTCCTTCACAAAATGACAAGACTTGCACAAACCTTACCTCAAGCAACAATCAACTCTTCTACCAAGAAAAGGTTAAGCCCATGGGATTTTTCCCGTTTCACTTTGATCAAATTACGTCAACAAAAGTGACGCAAGTGCTTCCCGAAATAGCTCCCAAACTAATAAAGCATTTATGAGGGGTGACATTAAACCTAATATACAGTTACCATATTTCTTTAAAAAATATAACAGAAAGGTCACAAAAAGATCATGTAACAGATGCTGTAAACTGATAAATCTTCACCGAGGAAGTTGATCTGGGACTTCCTGTTTTTCTCCGAACACTTACGGATATGCTTCGTGACTGAGTGACCTTCTAACGAGGCGCATGCTTTGTGTTGAGGTTCTGTTAGACCAATATCGAATATCTTAAATAACTGGATTTGAAGATGTGTTACGGGGATGGGTTCCGGGGGGGTACTTCTTGGAAATCTTGGTGGGGTTGTGCTAGCCTGTTCCAGGCTCTCAGATAGTGGGGAAGACGCGAAAGTAAAAGGTACGCGAAAAGTTGGCGGAGCGAAAAAGGGGAAGCCCCTTCTCTACCCAGTTTCCTCCCGTTTTACTTTCGTCTTGTCGCTTTCTCAACTATCTCGGAGCCTGGAACAGGCTAGGGTTGTGCCGCCCGGTTCTCCAAATCCTGACCCTACTATTTCAGACCAAAAAAATGACATTTTCCACACCCGTTTTCAGACCAGACCTCTAAACTCCATGCCCGATCCCAAATGCATCGTATTTGTAACGTTTAGCGCTGGAAGGAAGCAAAAATCTGGTTTTATGCTGGCTGCAGTCAGCCTAGGCAGGAAAATTACGATCCCATGCTTTCTCTCTGGCCGCTTTATGGAGGATGGTCGCAACGCCAGGAAAGAGCCTTGCGGGACGACCCTAAAAACGGCTGTGCAGCAGACTAAATCTCACGTGACTACTACACAATACCGCCAGCTACGCAGGCTAATCGCTCCTCCAAATACAAGCCGGGGCTTGTACCCTTAAATTGCCCTCAAATCCAAAGTAAAACAAAGCAAAAACCGTACAGTAACACATAAATTTTTGCATTTGCCAAAGAACTGAATTACGTGTGCCAAATGATTGCAGTGACGGAGTGTCACAGTATATTTAAGGTGCTGTTTGCGTAGTCCTCTGCAGTCTTGGCTTGGAAATGAAGATGTGTCACACGGGGATGGGTACCCGAAGTGGAGGGGGTACTCCTGGGAGTTTTCGGTGGGGCTTTGCATCCCGGTTCTCGAAATTCTGACCCTGTTTCAGACCAAAAAATGCCTTTTTCCACACCCGTTTTCAAACCTGGCCCTTGGGCAGAAATTATGTCATTATTGGTTAGAATCGAGGACAAACAAAAAAATTTCTTCAAATGCATTTCGAATTCGCATAATTTCTATTTCTTTCTTATTCATTTGGAATTAAAACGATAACTACGTTTATACGCTCCCGTGGTTGTCTCGAAAACCATACCAAAGTATAAATTATACCCTTTTTCAGACCAAAATGGCTCAAAACCCATACGCTTTGAGGCGGCAAATATTTGCCTTACCCGGGCATGGCTTTGCCGCTTTAAAGTAATGTTTGGTAGCCAGTACTGCGCGCGTTCTCCACTGTCAGGAGTTTCTCAGATAAACTTGAATGTAACCCCAAATTACTGAATGATTCCACTAGTTGCAATCAAATATGAGGAAATATCGACATCGCCCAAACGTTCAGCGTTATGGATGGGAGGAAGCAAAAATCTGATTTTAATTGTGCGGCTCCAGTCAGCCCAGGCAGGAAAATCACGGTCCCATGTTTTCTTTCTGTTGAAGAATTTAAGCCCGGCCCTCCCCCTTCTCGGATGTTTTTGTTCGCTCAGATCCGGCGTAATCCGGCGGCAGTTGACGGCCAACTCCCTACAACGGACTCCTGGAAGGGCTTCCCGCTTTAACTTCGTTCCCAGGGCTTTTCCCCGAGAAATGGGAAGCGGGAACGGGAAATGCTTTGCTTCAGTCATTTTATTTGACTCTCTATATAGATAGTCACTTCTCTAATACGGGCAGAAAAGGTGTCCGTCTTACACGGAATGAGCAAAAGTCTAGAATTTTCTAGTAACCTTTTTTCGACGCAAGGAAATAGCCTGCGTAGCTGGCGAGATTGTTGTGCCGAGGGTTGCCGGTTGCCGCTTTCCGCTGGGGAACTCCTGGGAATTCTTGGTGGGGGTGTGCCGCCCGGTTCTACAAATCCTGACCCTATTTCAGACCAAAAAATGACATTTTCCACACCCGTTTTAAGACCTGGCTTCTAAAATTCATACCTATTCTCAGACATGGCCTTTAAGAAATTATGCCATCATTACATATTTCCCTTTCTTTCTTACCCACTTTGGAATTGAAACAATAAATGCGTTTGTACACTCCCATAGCTCCCTTGAAACCATAACAAATTCCAGACCAAAATGGCAAAGTGTATACCCGTTTCCCAGACCAAAACGGCGCAAAAGCCCTACCCTTTGGGTCGGCACATACCTATATGGCTTATATAGGGGAGTACACCGCCCCCGGGCCCAGGTTACCGCTTTCTTAACCTGTGAACAGGCTCTCTGTTTGGGGAAAGGGTGAAAAAATCGCGAAAAGAGAGCCTGTTCACAGGCTACTGCTTTCTTGGCAGCGGAGCCGCCATGCAAAAGCCGCCAGGGATTTTTGCCCGCTAATTCCGCCAGCTTCGCAAGGATAATACCACTTTGACTAACTGGAGGCCATAGTAATCGGCTCCGCTGGACTTTAAGAAAACAACATACCTTACTTTGGCCTGATGTCACGAGTTTATTGAACATCCAGAAAGGATGGATAAGCCATTTCCATATAAATCACTTAAAATCACGAGGAGGCAGGGTGGATTGCATTCGTCTCTTTGGTGGTCATTACCTCGTGATACGTGTTTAGAAATAGCTCCACTTTCAGATCGGTTTCGTTTGTACAACGTTGATTCTCCGATGACTCCGCATCTTTTAAAAATCACCTGAAAGTGATGTAATGCGAAAAAGCTTGTCGGTTGTCAACTTACTATCATACTTGTACTACGTAGTCCTCCCGAGGGTCACGCAACAAAGCTTTATACAGGGAGGCTTCGCCCCAACAAGTTGCCACCCCTTACACCAGGAAGGTTTTCTTTGAGGGGGGGGGGGGGGGGGGGTACGAAAAAGGGCTGTTGAACTTCAAAAGGAGAGGAAAAAGCTTGTTTTAAGGATTTAACAAAACTGCCTTGCCTTTCAAACTTTTAAAACCACAATTTATAGGCCCCCTACTCCATGTGTGACTTCCCGTCCGCCGCCTCGCCTGGGCCACCTAGAACAGGCCGGCTGCGCGGCCCGTCCCCCCCACGATTCGGCCACCCTGTGGGGGGGGGGGGGTGGGTGGGGGGGGGGGGGGGGGGGGTGGAACGAAAAAGGTCTGTTGAACTTCAAAGCGAGAGGATAAAGCTTGTTTACAGGATTGACAATACTCGCCTTGCCTTTCAAACTTCTAAAACCACAATTTATAGGCCACATACTCCAGAATTAACGTTCATATCTAAATTTCAATTATTGTTTCATTGGAGGAACTTTGAGAAATATGTGATCTTTTACATTCTGCCTTTAAGCAAGTGAATTATGAAATACATGCGTTGCACCGTTCGCGATACCGGCCGAATTAGGTTATAAATGTCTCGAAGCAGCGGACCCTTAAACAGCTGCATCACTCTACTCAGCATTTGAATCATAAAGATATTTCAATGTTATGCTTCAAATTAACACCTTAAGTGGTAAAAAAAGACGAAAAAATTGTGAAGAATCAAGATGGCAGTCTCAAAGTACCCTTGTTTGACCTTAAGCCGAGTAAATGTCATGTTAGAAGCCAATTTGGTTCCTACGCCTCAACTCATAGTACCTTCAACCTTCTTGGTTCCTGCAACAGAAATCCCAACACACAAAGCCACAAATATACAATTACGCTCAAACCACTGACATATGAGCTTTTTTTTTCAAAATAGCTCAATAAAATGGAACAGCAAAGCCCCATCCCCTCTGAATCAAGGATGAAGCGGCGCGAAAGCCAAAACCCGTAATTTCCCATCTTTGATTTGGGGGGAAAGGGGGTATAAATTCATCATCTACCTTGTCCAAGATTGTCGTTAAATAGAACGCTGCATCTCTTTTAACGACTTTAAAGGCACCATCTTTTAAGAGTGAATAAATTGAAACCAGGAAGTGTTCTTTCCAGATCTGTTTAAACTTAGGTTAATAAAGTTCATGATGACAAATACTGATTCAAAAAAAGTTTGGGTGATTAAAAACAGTAAATAAAATGCCTCTGTTTGCCTTTAATCTTAAGACCTTTTCGCAGACTGCAGTGACAGATTTTCTTACCCTTTCATATACCCGGTATAGGCAATTAAAGGGAGTATCCCCGGGCTGAGACTGGTCTCCTAGGGTCGTCACGTAACGCTAAGGAGACAAAAGAACAACCGCTGGCGAAACAACGCTGGCCTGGCTAATGGCTAATGGCTGTCGCTTGGCGGATTTGTTGTTTTTCGCCTTAGTACGTCTCACGTGACAGAGGAAGTTGAAGATCGATGAGTCGACAGCAGTTTATGACGTAAGGGGGATTTCCCAGACTGGTAGGCCTAGATACAAATATCCGGATATTTTTAAAGATATCTAGAACATTCTGAGATATTTGAAAAATCTCATGACATTAAGAAAAAATTGAAATATTTAGAATTTTGTTACGAAAAAAGTACTGAAATCATGGTTTTTCTTGGAAGCTACTTCATTGCTTATTAGGGCATGGGTACTTCAGTGCCAGAAAGTCAACCATATCTCCACATATGGGCCTGTTGTAATCAGATGCAGCAATATTCTCCATTTATAATATATGCAATGTTTGCTAATGACGTACTCTCTGAGCCACGCACAAACCAAACGATAGTCAGTGTCCCTTTTAGACCACTTTAGACCTCCAGCACCTAATAGTCTTTCACGAACTCTGCCTGTATGAAAGTGCAGTACCTTAGCACTTCGAATCTCTTTTTCATGAAAATCCCATGAAAATGTGTTGAAAAACCCATGAACCCTTTTTCATGGCCATGAAAACAGCGATTTCGGATTTCATGGTGCTAAACTAAGTCATGACATTCTTTACCAGTTATTTTCATGAACCATGAAAAGTTTACAAAGCATGAATATGGATTTTCATGGGTCATGAAAGTCACATATATTTTAGACCGATACGTTTCATGACCCCTGAAAAGGCAGTTACAGCCTAGCATGCATTTCATGTGTGAGGAAAGTTCTAATGGCCCACGAAATTCCCATGAAGGCAAAATCAAAAACCCATGAAAATGTCCAACTCAAACTAGCACAAAAGTAGACGTTAATGCCTTAGAGAAATGTTGCACACATTTATTAATTCGTGATAACTCTTGCCAGATCTCTTTAAACTTAGGTTAATAAAGTTCATGATGACAAATACTGATCCAAAAAAAGTTTGGGTGATTAAAAACAGTAACTTGTTAGTCCAAAGAAATAGCTTCATAGACTCCTGTTAGTAAAAATTTATTATACTGTTTGTTTCAACCTCTTGTACCTTAAGGTTGCACTATATGATTCAACACCAAGTTAGGAAGGTAAATGCTATGGTTCTCTGAAGACTGAAGGTCTTGTTGTTCATACTCTCTGTCATCATATGAAATTGAGAAAAATGTGGGAACTGCCCACGTTGCCTCACTGTCTTTCCATACTTGTCTTATTCTGTTTTTCAGGCTTAACGAAAGACAAATAAAAATAGGGAAACTGACTCGTCTTCAGTCCAGACAAATTACCTTTGGGCCTGTTCACTTCTACTGCAGCTATTCCCGTGTTTAATACTAGTAGTAGACTGCAGGTATTCAGTGCATGCAAACCACATGATGCATAGTAATTTTTCAATGCATTGAAGTCATTTTGCCTAAATGACCGTTCTCCAACTGATTTGCCTGATCACATACAACACTCTTTAGTACACAACAGGCCTTGGATTCTATAGCAACGATTTATCCAGGAAGATCGAAGGGCCTCTGCTCAAGTTACCTATTCACTGTCAATAATACTGAAGTCTACATGTACCTCAGCGGTTGCAAACTTAGCTTTGTAAATTCTGAGATATTTTGCGTGAAATTTTCTTATAGGAAAAAAAAGCTTTTGATCCACAAGTGTAGTAAGCAACTGGGATATTCAAAGTGTCTTCTCGTACCTGAGCTAGTCCAAACAATGTCTACAACATGTGGCTCGTTGAAGCTTTGAAAGTAAGGCCATTGTTTCTTGCACAAAAACAATGCGATTTTTTTCCCTTGCTGCTGACACCTCAAAAGCTTTAGATTATTTCATTCAGCTCTTAAAACCACCGCTTTTTAGACTCATTAAACTCGATCACCGAACAGATTACCCGCCATGTTCCGCCATGTTTGAAATGTTTGATGTTTGAGCTGACTAGTTACCAGTCTCCCACAAAGTGACTCCCGTCGTCACGTGCACCTTTTGAACCAATAGAAAAGCTAAAAATGAAGTTCCGTTGGATCAGTTCAAATTCGCGCGGACTTTCGAGCAAGATGGATTTTGTGATTTTTATGCTCTTGCAACTAAAGGGCTGAAATGACTTACTGTATCTATCACCTTAGTGGGTAGAATAAAATTATTATGAAAGCAGATTGATGTTCCAGTTGTTTTGGTTGTAAATTGTATACCTAAATATACTCTTCTAAATAAGATAGAAAGAACAATGAGAGAGATTAAGGTACGCATAGTTTTTGAAATGATTGACTTTCAATGGGGTTTTAATGTCATCTTCATGGTACCATTTAGCCATCAATTTAACCCATGCAAATGTCAGAGGACAAGCCTCAAAATACATTTCATGGGCCATAAAAATGCTGCGAAAAGGTCAGAAAAGTACTCTGAGAATCTTCATGGCCCATTAAAAATTCCCAGTTAAGGGTATAATCATGACCCATGAATTTTCCATCCCATTAAATTGCTATGAATTTGCACACCATGAAAAAACTGTATATGTTTCATGGCCTTTTCCTGAACACCATGGAAATCCCATAACAAGTCAAATTCATGAGTCAGTAAGAAAAGTCATGGCTTTTCATGTGTTTTTCATTGCATTTCTTATAATCTAGACTGTGTCATGGGCAATTAATTGTGAATTTTTCAAAGTATTTTCATAGCTTTTTTAATGGTATAGGATGAACCAATGAAAATACCCTTAGTTTTAGCCGTGAAAATCTGGTGAATAAGGCATGAAAATCTTGTGAATTTCCCCTGAATAAATTCACAAGATTTTTGTGGGTTTTTGTTTAGTAGTGTAGGTTTATTGGAGGCTGAGGGGTACTGTAAATAAGGCTGACTTTATGTGGAATCGTATAGAGTTTTGTTGTATGCTGTACAAGAATATAATTTCCTGAAATTTGCTGAAATTTGTCTTGCCATTTTAGATGACGGGCTATTTTTCAGTGTTTTTTCTGTAATATTTATGAAATTAAGCCAGATATATTTGAGATATTTAGACCTTTTTCCCGGGGAGGTATTTAGAAAAATATCGGGAATTTCCGGAAACATATTTAGGCAAGTTTTCGTGATATTTGTATCTGGGCCTACTAGAAATGCATTCTTCGCGTGGCTATAGGATTTGTATCTGTTCGGTCATCCCAGGGGAACTTGAATCTTTTGGAAATTACAAGGGCTTTAGTATTATTTTTCCGAAAAATTTTAGACGCAATTTGACGTATTACGAAAGCGAGACATTTTCTGATTTCTCTCTCCATTGCATTTTTGAGTCCTAAAATTTTAGGTTTCCTTTTCTCACGAAAAATAGCCTAATTTGGGAAGTGAGGAGTGAAAATTAAACTTCAGAAAATCGTAGGGAATTTATTACATAAGCTTCGCGGAAAATTGTACAGGAGTCACTGTGAGTGGAACGGTCCTCTAGAAAATATTAGCCGTTCACAAGTAATAGGAAATTCTAGTCGATATTTGCTTCTCCGAACAGATATTTTACAGAAAACAGTAGTTGAGTGCCCTTGAAAAAAGTTAAAGAGCTCTTAGAACAATTATACATCTAATTGCGTCAAGGAATTAATATTCACGTAGGACGATTTGAAGCGCTCTGTTGCCATTATAGGATGATAAAAGCATAGTGTGTGCGTAATTGGTGAAATTCCTTTCTGGTAAAATCTTCACAAGGGGCGAATTAGTTCTCAATGCCTTTCTAAAAATACGGCAATCCGATCTTTCAAGCAGCTCCCTTATATTCAATTTCCTCGATATATATCTGCCTTTATAGCACTTATCTAAAAAATGCTGTACGTTGTTAAGATCAGAAGAGGAGGCTCCGAACACCGATAAACCATAGAAAAAATTAGGCATAAGAATTGCTTGAAACACATAATCCATCTCCTCCTGATTGTACAACTCTTGCCGAAGAGTTCTTATTACGTTCAAGCATTTAAAGACTTAACAAGCTTGTCACCCATTCCGGTAGAATTGTAAATACGCAAGTTACGTATCACACCTAAAAGTTAAGCTCACTGCATGCATTGCGGAATATTATGTATTTTACACAGTTCCTCTACAAACCCTTTCTATACGCACTGTGAGTTCTTTGCACTTTCTTGGATTATATGACATGGATAGGCCTAGATACAAATATCTCGAAAAATCGCCTAAATATGTTTCCGGAAATTCCCAATTTTTTTTGTAAATACGTCGAAAATTTTTTTCTAAATATCTCGAAAAAGTTCTAAGTATCTCAAAAATGTCTGGCTTCATTTCATAAATATTACAGTAAAAACACACAAAAAAAAATAGCCTGTCATCTAATATGGCAACACAAATTTCAGCAAATTTCAGGAAATTATGTTCTTGTACCGCATACAACAAAACTCTAAACAATTCCACATAAAGACAGCCTTTATTTACAGTACCCCTCAGCCTCCAATAAGACTAGGGCACCGCACTTTAATATAGGCAGAGTTCGTGAAAGAATATTAGGTGATGGAGGTCTAAAGTGGTCTAAAACGGACACTACCGTTTGGTTTGTGCGTGGCTCAAAGAGTACGTCATCAGCTACATTGAATATATCACTGGAAAATATTGCTGAATCTTGAATTACAACAGGTCCATATGTGGAGATTTGAATTTCTGTCACTAAATATCACAATTTTTTTCCTAAATATCATGAGATTTTCTAAATATCTCAAAATCTTATACATATCTTTAAAAATATCCGGATATTTGCATCTAGACCTAATTTCTAGACAACTAAAAATACTCTGGATAGCCTTAATAGTGTTATCTATGCATTTAGGAGAAAACCGCCGTTGGGTACCCCTGTTTTTTTAATTTATTTAACTTGTAACTTGAGATATGTATTTTCATCTTTTGAATTTATTAAAGACATCTATTCTATTGTATTAAACAAGCAAAAAATCACGACGTTATTATCAAATTGACAGCGGAAATCTCTGATAACAAAATCTCATTTCTAGATACAATAGTGTGCAATGGGGAAAAAAAGTCAATTTGCAACTTTTTCTGCCACCGCTGCGAAACGCTGCTCGTTTATCTCTTAACTAGAATGACGAAAGACTGACCAAAAATGGCCTTACGAGGGAGTAAGTGCGTTATTTTCCTTTGGATTACTATATCTCCTATTGTTGGGTTTTTTTGTGGAAGTATTACCAAAATGGAAATGATGCAAGGGTGACATTTAAGGGTATGTCCTTGTAATATAAGTAGCATTAAGAACCAGATTCTGAACCAGTTAAACGGAAATGGAGAGACGCGATATGCCAATGAGCTCACATGCAACTGACAAGGACAGCACAATTTTACATTCTCCCCAGGAACAACCAAAAAGCTGTTGCGAAAATATGTTCAAAGGTGATAATCTTAACTTTATTGTACAAAGTTCAGTCATTGAGGAGGCAGCGTGGCCGAGTGGTTAGAGCGCTGGACTTGCAATTCGGAGGCCCCGAGTTCAAGTCCCGCTCTGACCGCTAGCTGGATTTGTTCTCGGTAGTCCCGAGTTCAAATCCTCGACCACGCTTATAAATAGCCAACTGGTTCGACCTCCGACCAGCTGGGATTCTTAACCTTGTTATGTTTGATTTAAATTATTTGTTTCATACATTTGCTCGGCCCCACTAGCATTAGTGCTACAAATACTGCCGAGGGTAAATGATGGAATTATTATTATTAAAAATATTAAAGTTGATATTGATGTACCTAGCTACAACCCCATGTGCATTTAGAACTCGAGGAAGTCATCGTTATAGATATATAGGCAAGATCATACATGTCAGTCGACGAAGAACAATTTATTTGTTCCTTCCAAGGACCATAAGACGGGAAAGACTATTCTGTGGAACTGCAGACCGCGGAACCACGGTACCTTAAATTAGGAACCTACGGAACCTAAGGAAATGACTGTTTTTATTACAACTGCCTTTGGTTAACGTGATAAAATAATTCGTTAAAATTAATTATAACATTGATAGACTGTTTACAGTGCTCTATTTTTCCTTAAGATCGTCGAGATTGAGCACTTACCGTCACTGGCAGCCATTTTGTTGATTTCAAATGTACCGAGAGGGTGGGCGTCGGGGTTCCCAAACCGTCCCCCTCCTTCCAAGTCGGGTAGATAGTTATCTCCCTCACCTTTGAACTAGACTCGGTCACGATGGCCGCCCGTTGCGCTCGTTCTCGACGATGTTGCGGAAAAATAGGGGACTGTACACAATGTATTTTAACTTTAATCGAGAGCTAACAGGAAGTCCGCGAATCGCAGACTTCCGGCTTGTTAGTACTTCAGTCTGAAGGAAACGAGAGGTAAAGATTTAAACACAGTAGCACAACGTTGGAACGAAGATAGTATGTGAATGCGTTTGTGAAAAATAGATGATATTTAGGGAAGGGTTGGGCTGTATCCGGCAACAAGAGGAATACGTGTGGGTGAGTCAGTTATAGCATCGCTGGGGTTGAGTGCGTCAGTGCATGTGATAGTGTGAACACGTTGTATCTTCTGGTTGAGGAAACCGACATTGTATCCACGTCTGTTAAAGTACTGTGTTAGTTCATTACAACGCACTTTGTACGTCTCGTTGAAGGAATATATACGTCGATTCTGAGAGCAAGGCTGAATGGAAAAGCTCGTTTAGTGTGTAAGAGGCAGCCTGCATAGCTGGCACTTTATGAGCCAAGCGAGGCGAACACGACATCTCGCACAAGACGAGCACGAATCGCGAGACGAGGGGAAGAGAAAGTTTCGCGCGAAACGCCGTGTTTGCCTCGCTTGGCTCATGAAGCACCTGTTACGCAGACTAGGAAGAGGCGACATGATGAGCGAAAAAGATAGTGATGTTTGTCTTTAGGTTTAGTATTAAAGAACAGTTTCAATGATACCGTCATTGAGGGACACTTTGACGTCGATAAAGGAGATTTGGATGCATGAGTAGTTAGATGTAAATTTAATAGCGGGCTGAAGGGTATTTATGTAAGCGATGGAATAAAAATATACGTTTATAGTGAGAATGAATTTGATGAGGTCGCAAAAAGTTTCTGTGTGTATGGTGGATGTAGAGTGGCCGGTATAGTAAGGAAGTGACAGCAGGCGCCAATACCCTCATCTTTCTCTCATCCTACTGTGCTTAAATCTATACCTCTCTTTGCCTTCCGGCGTACTAACAAGCCGAAAGGCCACGATTCGAGGACTTCCTCTATAGAAATGACGTCAAAATGTTCAAAACTCAAGTGGAACCACAAGCCGCAGGCAAGTGGTTTCATTGTAAAGTTTTAAACATTTTGACGTCATTTCTATAGTCGGCAACAGAACAGACCATGGAAAATTGTTGTCGATTTGTTTTTTACAATAACGTCATTAAGATATTGACAGTTTTTGTCGTCGATTTCCGTTGACTTTTCGCGGAAAATCGCTCGTGAGAAAGAGAAAAACAGACTGCGCCATCATCACTTCATTTCCACTCGACCAATCAGCGGTCGAGAAATCGCTTACATATTATAAAAAAAATAAATGGAACTAATTATTTTATCACGTTAGCCAATTTAAGGTAGTTGTAATAAAAACAGTCATTTCTTTAGGTTCCGTAGGTTCCGCCGGTTCCGCAGGTTCCACAGTTCCATCGTCTGCAGTTCCACAGATTAGTCTTACCCCCATAAGACTATTCGGGGGAATTAGGAACCAGCGCAAAAACTTGAGTGACATTCTTCGCCTTATTTTAACCCTGTTCTGACCGGGGGGCATTTGAGACTTCCCCTCGCTCTGAAAGATGATAACTTTAAAACCATTCAAGTTCTGACCATCAAACTTGGCGGCTTTTCCTAAAAATTATATATATGTATGGGAACGTTTTAAAGTCGTTGTGACGTATTCGTCAACGTTGATGTACCGGTAACGACGGCAACCGAGTTTTGAAGGCCATGTTTTTCAAAATTTGCATTTTTTTCTAAAAAAAAAATAGGTTTTATATCTATTTTTACCGAAGAAATAGTATTCTGTTACACTTAATTTAGCATTATTTTATCAAAGTTATTATAACTCTTAATGAAATAGTTCCAGTTCCTTTTTGGTGGTAAATGACGTCATCATGACATCAATGCCAGTGTTAAAAATTATTTACATGTTAGCCAACTTCCTGATTTTATCAGATACCCTACTATTTGTAAGTATTTTTCGCTTTACGTCAGTCGTCGGGAGAAATTTGAACTCTGTTAATAAATTAACCAATATGTAAGATTATGTCATTATGTCAATTAAATTATGACTAATTGAAGTTGGAAATGATGAGTACATCATTCTGTGAAATTTCGGTGGCCGTAGCATGAGCAGTTTTGAAGTTATAGGAGGGGGCCTCCGAGCCTGAAAGTAACTAACCTGAAAGTTCCATCCAAGGGGAGGGGTGTGTGAATATTTTCTTGAAATAAACTGTCTCATAAGTAATATATGTTAAATTCTCTCTCTTTTTTTAGAAACTAAGACTGTCAATCCGAGAAATGAGGTTATCCCAGAATTTCAGATTGCTGATATCAGTGATGAGTTAGAGACTTGCTGGCGTCAGCTGGGACCCAGGCTTAAGATTACAGCAGCAAAGATTAAAAACATTGATGAGGAGAACAAAGATGACTGGACCAAAGCGAATAATCTTTTGATCCTGTGGAAGCAGCAGGAAGGGTGTAATGCTACATTTGGTCATCTGGCAGATGTTTTAGAGAAGATAGGAAGAAAAAGAATTGCTGAAAAACTGCTTGGTAGGTTACTGATTACATTGAGTATATATACTGAAAGCACATATTACAGAACAGTACTTGTCTTGTACAGGGACCATGTCTATCCCTTCAAGCCCCAATATCCACCAACAAATTGTCCAAACTGGTCTCTACATTTTGTATACATTTGCATAGAGAATAAGTAGAGAGAATTTTACTAAAAGATCCAAGCGTTTTCCTCTAGGTAATAATTCCATTAATTCTCACCAATTTTTCTCTTGATTGTGTATGGATGTCGTTTTGAGAAAATTGACGTTTGTCACCCGTGGGAGTTATAAGGTAACTGAAAAAAAATAAGGAGCTCAGGTTTTTTAATGCAATGTAAAATAAATCAAAGAACCCCCTGATCATGGATGATTGACATCTTTAGACTAGTTCTAGCAGAACTGAAGCTCATTTCTGTTTCGTGACAATTATTGTTGTTTGTTGGGTGCTGTCAATACAGGAATGAGACCTAGCTTTATCAGACAAAAAAATTACTTACAGAGTGTAACCAGTGGTACTCCTGGGAATTTTTGGTGGGGGTACTGTATGCCGCCCAGTTCTCCAAATCCTGACCCTATTTCAGAACAAAAAATGTCATTTCCCAAGCCAATTTTCAGACTTGGCCTATGTTTACATAGGCAGAATTAGCTATGTTATCTTTATTTAGATTGGAATGCCAACAAATTAAACAGATTTCTTAAAATCCATTTTGAATTTGCATATTTATCTTTCTTTCTTATTTATTTGGAATTGAAATGATAAATACGTTCATACACTCCCGTAGTTCTCTCGAAAAACATATCCGATTCCAGACCAAAATGAGCAAAGTCTCTGCCCGTTTTCAGACCAAAACGGCACAAAAACCCTACCCTTTGGGGAGGGGGCACGTACCTACCTTCCCCGGGAACTTAGTCTTTTGACATTGCATCAATTTTTATAGGAGTGGGGGAAATTGTCAAGTTAAGTCTATGTTACATGAACCTTGAGCATTAATTTGTGTCTATCTGTAAAACAGGTTGAATACGGACAGTTAACTGACTCTGTTTGTCAGCCGTGTGTAGAATAATTTATTTTTTTCATTTTCCCCATGTCAATCATCTTATTTGTTTGACTTTAGGAGAGAGTAATAATGCATTGGAGATACCAACATGTGCATCAGTTTGCACTGGTGACGTGATCAGTTTGACAGTGCAGAATGCCAGACAGGAAAAGGTTTATTAGTTATTCTTCTTTTAAATATTCATATATCTGACAAAATTTGCCTCTAGAAATCACCCTCACAACCCTCTATCGACTCTGATTTACCATTTTTGTTTTTACTTTATTTTGTTTTTGGTTTTCGATAACTTTGTCTCACTAATGTTTTTTTCTTATAATCTGTAGAAAAAGACAATCGTTGAATTTTAAACTGTATCAAACCCAAGTTCGGGGCGCGGGGGGGCGGTGGGGCGTGCCCTTATTTGGCCTGAAATTTTCAGGGTATGTGCTACTGAACAGGGTGGCACTCAGGGTCTTAAGTCTTAAACGGGACATACAGTTTTACTATTCAGAGCTCTTAAACACGGCTTCTTTTTGGGTCAGAATCCTTTAAAAGGGGGGTGAAGTTTAGCAATGGCCGGTCGACATTTGTGGTACCAACTTTTTTTGTTTCAAATAATATATTTCCATGATGTTAGTTTGAAAAATTGTTTATTTATTCTGTATGAAAAACGATGAGTCAGGCTCATAAAATCAGGTCTCCTGTCTTAAACAGGGTCATGTTTTGAAGGCCTTGGCAGAATTACACCTCCATCCAAACTTTCCTTGAGTGCCTCCCCCGAGGTCTAAACTCAGTACCTGTCCCCTTCCCAAGCCTCCTTATAGGCGAATCTCTGCTGACGTCATTGTTTACTTATTTCCTCATCAGCATAAGACTTAACTCATAGAAGAAGAGGCCGTATATACGAACTAAATTCAAAAGTTGAAAGAGCTGATTAAGTTGAGCAAAGCTATATTGAAGGAAATATTAGCCATCAAAAACTGCGAAATGCTGGGTGGCAAAAAAAGTCAATGAACCATACATTCTCTGTAAAAACTTCGATTTTTAGAGAATATTTCTCCGAAACCATTCGGTGTATTGGGCTCCAATTTTCAGAAATAACTGAAACTGTTATGCCCTTTCAATATTCAGAGTTTATATTTTATTAGCGTCATCAGATAGTGATTAGCATATGTTAATGAGGCAAAAAGTGTCAACAAAGATTCGCGTATACCACCATGGCCATCACAAAGATTTTCATTCCTTTTCCATTACTCCCCAAGTCGCAACACTAATTTTTGAAGGATCTGCATCGTCCAATGATTTCTTACCGTATTCGTGTTTTCTTTGGTTAGATGCAACGTTAATAATGTGCAAACAGAAACGGCAAGGCAATACAATGAGTATTATATTGTAAGGCTATTTAAAATAGTGGAAAAATTGACCCTGTGTCAATATCATTTGCAACCGTCACAAAAAACTCTTTCTGTTTTTACAGGTTTTTCTCTGTGTAGATGCTGATGGAAATAAATTTATTGTAAAAGCAGTTAATGGAAGCAAAGGACCGTGGAACACTAAAGAGGTAAATTTATTTGGTAGAGCAGAGTATTTGAGTTTCCATACTAGAAGAGGTCTACTTCTAATCTGGAGTCAGTCTGTTTTCTAGTCACCGTGCCTCTAGCCAAAACATAGGACAGAAAACTTTCACCCCCATTTCCGCTTTTCTGAAACCATGTGCAATATTTTCTTTCTGCTTTGAAAAGAGTATGTATTCGCAGGCTACGATTTGGCGGGCAGGTTTGGGTGTGTTTGGAAAACTGTGGGTAGGTTCGGGAACCTAGCCACTCCCCAAAAATCACTTTACTGAAAGATTATAACCCAGAAAAACATTTTGCTCCATTTTCACGCCTCAATTTATCTTTACATATTTCTGACACTTTTTTTCCGTGTATATATCACCAATTCATGCTAATTTTCTTCGCATTTGATAATGATGACATGGAGTCATCGAGACGTCGTGTTACTTTTTTTATCGCTGATTTTTCTTTTGAAATGTATGTAAAATTCGATCGTTATCAAAACAAATGGGCTTTGGTTTAATGAGGGGATGGTATGATAATTGACGCTCTTGGTTTATTGAAAGTGCCCTATTTTGGATAATTTAAACGGGCCCTCTCTTGTGGCTGGAAATGAAGCATTTGCGTCTTACTTTCATCCTTTTTATCGTTGATTTTTCTTTTGAAATGTATGTAAAATTCGATCGTTATCAAAACAAATGGGCTTTGGTTTAATGAGGGGATGGTATGATAATTGACGCTCTTGGTTTATTGAAAGTGCCCTATTTTGGATAATTTAAACGGGCCCTCTCTTGTGGCTGGAAATGAAGCATTTGCGTCTTACTTTCATCCTTTTTGGCTTTAAATTTCCTTATCACTAAGTCTACTGTATGTTTTTAGTTTTTTGACAATGTTCTGCCATGATGATTGGTAAATAGTAATTAGAATTAAAGCCTGTGTTTTAATTGGCAGATCCTAAAGAATGAAGAGTTCCTAGAAAAAGTAGCTTCAGCTGCCTTGGACGTGGGAAAAACAGAAGAGCAGAAACTCCAAGAAAAGTTGAAGCGCTGTTCCTTTGCTGGGATTGAAGAACTAAATAAGGATGTGCAAGACCTTAACAACAAAATGAAAGTAAATTACAATTACAAATGCGATGGAGAAACTTGTACAAGGATTACAAGGCCACCTCCAAAGAATGCACAGCCAACATTAGTGCCACTACAAGTTGCAACACAACACCTTCTTTCCTGCGAGGACCACAAAACCTATTTTGTCGGAATTTTCAAAGGTCTCATTAAGTGGATTGGAGAGGCTGCTCAGCTTGGAGAAGACAACTTCATGTGTATTAAACTACTTTGTGACTCCATAAGGGAATTCAAAGATCAGGAAAGGAAATTTTTCCTTAAAATTAAGCAGCTTCAAACCATGAAGCAACATTTCAATCACAAGCAAGTCGCTCAAGTTGAAGAATTAGAGAAGTGGAGGAAGACGCAAAAGAAACACCTTGATGAAGTCGAAAAGCTGCTCTCAAGCTTCCTTTGTCAGGGGAAAATTGAAAACAAGAAGGTATTCAAGGTTAGTATGGTTAGAAAAAATGATGCAATGCACGAATAATTATTGATAGTAAAATCCAACCAGTGGTCTATTATCAATGCTGCATTCTGATTGGTTGAGTTACTACTAGGCTATATCTTATAGCCCCCTAGTAGCGAAAAGCGGGGCTTTTTGGCGGCAAAAAAGGATTTAAGTCTAGCTTTAACTAGCTAAAAGTTTTTTATTCTCGATATTTTTGACCAACTAGTTGGATTTTACTAAAACAATTATTCCTCTCGCCCTCATGGCCTCTGAGTCAATATTCCTCAGAGATCATTCGGGCTCGAGGAATAATTGTTAATTATTTATCCATTTGTTCAAATTTGGCCGAATCAAAGTGAGTTCTCCACTCGTCGATCATAGCCCGCCGCAAACCATCACATCACAGTTTAAAACTCTTTTAAACAGGGACGTTAAGATCTGATGACGGCGACAACAACGGGGACGTCAAAAAGGCAATTGTTGTCAGAGTTCGCAAAACAGCAAAACAACAAATTTGCTCGTTTTAGGGAGGACGTAAACAAGCGACATCAAAAACTTTCTTTCTCTTTTTGAACTTGAATATGGCTCGTAGAAATTCAACTCAAGGAGAGTTCGCCTACATTTGACATAGTAAGTGAGTAGGTATAATCATGATGAAGGTTGCAGGTTTTATTCTAGAAATTGGCCAATGAGGATCAAATGGGCCCCCTTCTGTAATTTTAGAGGGTCCGGCCTTTTCCAAGAAAGGGGGTCCTTGAAAGGGAGTCCCCCAAAAGGTATTTGAACTTATTGTTACAGAATGTACCATGAGAGAACGAACGTTTATTGAAATCATCAAGTACTGGACATGAGGTTAAAATGACTCTAATGCTTTAACGTAAATGGAAAGCTTCTTTGCTACTTATATTCTGTTCTTTCATCCAACATTAGGATAAATAATTTTGTTTCTTTTAGGCCACAAGTTTTAAGGAAAAAAGTCTCCGTTACTCATGATTCAAATCGTGGCTTTTCTACTCTCCATGTTCTTTTTCGAACGCCATACCTGACAGGCATCATGAAAATAAAATTTGCATGGGACAAGGGAGGTCCGTCAATTGAAATTGTCATCAAGTTGTCCGAAGATTCCTCCCCTAATCTGTTCCTCAGGGCCGTTTTTGTTCAATTCTGGTCACTGAAACCACATTCCACATCTGTTGTTTGAAAAAAAAAAGCACTTATCCTTGGGTCTAGTTTTTTTTTCTGGCGCCCCACTTGACGCGGCAGCGTAAATTTTATGCGGCATTTTTTTTCCAAATTGCGGAAATCCCGCAAGGTCGCGCTCTAGAATAAAACCTGAGGTTGGTAGACGTCAAAGTCACATTTTAAGCGACGTTTTCGCCACCGTCGCCGTTTTTGGATCTTAAGGTCACTATAGTGCATTAAGGGAAGACGGGTGAACTTGTAGAGCAGGAATTCTAATGATTTTAGATTTTCTCTACCTCTCTTTCAGTACTAGAACGTGTTGTCTTTAGTTGAATACAGAAAAGCTCTATCAGTTTTAATTCGGTTTAAAAGTGCCTTAATTATTTGTTCATTGTATCAATATTTTATTTTTTTTAGAGAAAGCGTATCAGCAAGTCTCGAAAACGTCACAGTATATCTGCACCATTTTGTCCACAATATCTGTCAAATATATGGACAATGAAACAGGTTTGTCTGACTATTTCGTTATTCATTATTATGTTTAGTCGAAGAACGTAGTTATTAAAAGTGTCATGTTATGGTGTACTTTTTTTAATCGCCACCCTAGCCTGTGCCAGGCTCTCAGATAGTATAGTGCGGATGTATTAAAACGAGCTGTCTCTCCCCAGCCTCCGCGAGTTTTTCGCATTTCTTTTTACTCAACGACTTTTCACCACTATCTCGGGGCCTGGAACAGGCTATCGCCACCCGTGAGTTTGTGCTTGTATTCTTAGGGTAGCGATCCTGGGAGATGAATACTTCAAGTATAAATCAAATTATCACTGACGGAAAATACCTTGATCCCGAGTGAACAGATCCCCCTCAATCTCTCGAAAGATAACGCTAAATTCCTTAAAAGATTGCGCTTAAAATCACTGGAAAGATTGCCCTTTATCCCTGGAAAGATGGCGCCAAATCCCTGGCAAGATTGCTCTAATCCCCCGGGAAGATTGCGCTTAAAATCTTTGGCAATATTACGCTAAGTCCCTGGAAAGTTTGCGCTGATTCCCTGGAAATTGGCACTCCTTCTTGCTTACTGGCTTATTCCAACGTCTGTATAAGTCCGTCTGTCCGTCCGTAAGGTCATTTCTATTGTCCTCGTAGCGCACAGAGTAATTACCGGGTTCGATTATGCCCGCCTTTGCCCCTTTTTTCTTTTTCATGGTTACTACAGTACAGACTATTCATTGCCAGTAAGCACATGTCCTCTTAGGGGACTATTACTATTGTTGCCATACCTCCATATTTGCCCTAGTTCCTTCCTTGCCTTGGTAAAGCAGCTTACCAAAAACTACCAAAAATGCAACAGTTTTGTCACACTATGTCTTACCTTTCCTATTGTGACTTCTTGGATTTAAAGATCTGTAAAGGAATCCCGAGTAATTGAGGAACAAAAACTGCACCACATTTAATATGGCAGGGTCTTATTAAGGGGGCATTCTGGTTGTTTTGGAGGCAAATGATGATGTTAATTTGAGAAGGAAAGAAATTAGGGTAGAAAAGGTATATATGTTGCAGTTAATTTTTTATTTACGTTAATTTTTTTTCTTTTGTTTTAAATTCATTAGCGTACATTACGTAACCCAAAAACAATGGATAAATAAAAATTAACAGGGATCATCTCATCATCTAACTCAGTAGAGTAACAAAATACATATAAACCAATTGGTCTGCAAATGAGTTCAGACTGGCACCTTGTTTTGGTGATGGACTACCTGGTTTTATTGTCTGGTGCTATTGTCTTCGTTAATCTATCCTGACTTCGAACTTGACATTCAATAAGATGCAATATACCGAACCTTGTTAATAAAGCAAGAATCTGAGTAAATTGAATGATGTTGCTCCTTTTTGCTAATTCCTTGTATTTTAGAGTAATTTTTCTAGGGGGGAGGGCCTTCATATGACAGAGAGCGTTTGTTAGAAAGAGGCATCTAATACAAACTTAAAATCGTAGAGGGGACGTTTATAAGACAAGAGGCGTTTATTTGAGAGGGGGCGTCAATTAGATCATTTACAGTAATCGCGCAAGATTCTCGAAACAGTTACACACCTTTTGAATTATACTCAAGAAAAATGTTATTAGCTTTATGTGAATTGTGATTAGCATTTTCATTTTAATATTTTTTTAATCGGTTAAACTACGTCTTATATTAACTTGTTGGTTGTCTTCTTTTTAAGTCCTGAGTTCGACCACTTGTTATGACAATGTCCGAGTCGGATAATGGCACGAGAAGATTAACACAACAGCTATCAAGATGAAGAGTAAGGTGTTATTGAAGGGGAAATTGAATCATTTATGAGCACGATAAATTGCAAATTAAACAGCAAATTTTGAAATGATAAAAAGAGTTAAATGTAGGTGTAATTGTAATTGTAGGTGTAGGTTAATTGTAGTAGTAACTCGCCAGTCAGCAAATCCCCGTGGAAAGTACATTAATCACAATGTCTAATGGTCGAATAGTTCCTCCCACCTCATAGGTAAATACCGTATTTCCTCGAATAATAGCCGGAGGCGATTATTTCTTTTCTCGTGCCAAAAGAGGGCGATTATTCGAGGGAGGCGATTATTTTCAGATTGTTCAATGGAAGTCATTCTCAAAATATTTTGTTCTATTTTCCCGTTAAATAAAAAATCATAACATCAAAGAAACTGAACATAGGGCTTTTTCAGTGTTCCAAATTTGGTTCCTTGATTAATTTTCATTGTCAATATCCTCGGCGTCGTCACTGATCAGTTTTGCTGGATCAGACTCCACTTCAGGTTCATCCTCCAGATTTACCGCTATGGGTATCGATGGGTTACGTACAGTGGTGGGAGGGGGCGGTTATTCGAGGGACGTCTATTATTCGAGGAAATACGTTTAGTTGGTTAAGATTTTTATAATTATTCTTTACTTTTACATTTCCTTCACTTACATGTAAATAATTTTGTTGGGATATTTACTATTCAAAACTTGTGAAATATTTTTGTTACGACTACAGCCAATCGGTGGGCTAAAGAGCTGGAGAATGTTTTGCGTGCATCCCAGTCTTCCAAGGTGGTCCGATTTTACAGTGATTTGAACGAAGTGTTGGTCGGTCTGCACTTAAAATAAGTGCTATAGGATAATATAGGTTATCTAATGTTTTCTCCTGGCATACCGTAAAATATCCCTAATTTGCCAGGATTTTACCACAGGTTATATTTGAATTTTTGTTATAAACTTTTTACGTTAGCCAGGGTTAATTGTTTTATTTATTTATTTATTTATTTATTTTGCATTTTCCAAGAAATCAAGTCACGAGTGAGATATTTTTACTTATTAATTTACTTATATACGACAGTTTGTATACAATTTTTTATTCAGACTTATTTGATCATTGACTTTGTCACGGTTAAAATATTATGAAACTATATTTTTGGTAAGGTGCCGATTTCTATTCAAATGCAAGTCCTTTTTCCAATCAAAAATGTTTTGTAGTTCTTATGGGACATAATAAAAATTCTGCTGTGCAGATACAAGTATATTTTTAGATAAGAGAAAAATTTACTCCGAACACATATTAAACTCAAGCTAATAGAAATTATAAGTCTTTTATACCATAAAGTGAATTCTATACCTGCTGTGTTTGACTATTTTTTACGATCTGTTCAGAGTACAAAGGGCAGTTGATGCATGGTAAATGTTGTTATCTCTGTTGTGGTAGACATGGCATGCTGTTCATGCTCGTGTTTTTATTCCCCTCTATTTCATGACGAAATACTACAATCATGGACAAAAATCTTATGACACAATTTTATTTGTGGGGTTTTTTCCAATTTCACACATGCCCAGCCACTCCCCCACCCCACAAACAACGTTGGACGCCTGTATCCAGAATTTTTTCCGAGTATACTACAGCACTGTCCCAAGGACTTTTGTGCAGGATTGTAGGTTCCACTTTGGTCTGCGAAAAAAGGCGCGGTGCCGAGCGATGAGGGGCGACACAGGGAACCCGAACGCTGTATTAGCCAATAAAATAAATAGCAATTATTCACCTCAGTGAATACCACTAGCCACTGACACTGAGGTGAATAATTGTTTTAGTATATACTAAAACAGGGAGATAAGCACAAAAAAGATGATTATTAACTCATTTACTGTTGCCAACGATTACAATTTTGGCGCGCAATGACCGAACGGCCGCTGTCGTCGCTTTTTCTTGCCGACAAATAAAACTTTTGAAGGCATTTGTTTAGCTCTTGGGAAAATTTCTTCAAAAGGAGTTGTGAATTCTTTTTGTATTTAAAATCATTCTGTAAAAAAGATTATCAAATTTAGTTTTCAGCTTATTTACGAACAAGTCAACTAAACAAAATGACGCAAGACTTAAGCTTAATTTGCATTTGTAAACAAAAAACTTTTTCACAGGTTTTATCGATCAATTCAAGTCAAAAAGACAAATCTTTACCTGTTAAAACTTCCAAACCGAACTTCGTCACCTTCTTCGTGTATTTCGGGAACAGCTTGCTTGAGTAGTTGTGAAATTTCTTTGTTTGTTTCGGCAGCAAACCGGGAAGGCATTTTGCTCGCAACTTACGCGAGTTTGGCGTCGCTCGCTCGGAGGAACTGGAGGTGAATCAGTGAATAGTGCAGGATATTCACTGATTGAATAGCCAATCAGAGCGCGCGAAAACCACTATTCTCTGTTTTATGCCAGGGTTCCTCATAGCTCCCAGGTGCTGATAAAAAGTTTGTCATATCAGACCCAGTGTGTGTTCAGCAGCTGCATTGTTTGGACTCAGACAAGAAACTCAACAATAAAAAGGTTTGTATTTCATCGTGATTGTAAGCAGTCTATTAAGTTTTCCAACCAGCGTAGCAGATGACTTTGAGCTTGTACAAGAGAGAATTATGGACAGAGAGGGAAACGTTTAGAAATTGGAATGGTTTCCGGAGAGGTCCGTAAACTTTTTTCAGTTTTTGTCAAGAGAGAATTCAACAAATTTTAAATGAAGGTATTTTCGTCGCAGTGGTCATTGCAATTTAAACAATTGCAAATTAACCCGAAAAAAAAATTTCGGGACTTCAACGGGATTCGAACCTATGGCCTCGTGAGTGGAATGAAGCAATGAAGAAGATGCGAACTGCGGAAATTTTAAATGAAGATATGATGGTCGCAGTGGTAATTTGCAATTTAAGCAATTGCAAAGTAACCTGAAAAAAAAAAATCAGAATTCAACAGGCGCCATTACAACATTCTGCATTGTTTACTGTGAGGCAGTCGCGCGTGGACTTGATAACGTTTAAAATAATCAGTTAAATATGCGAACTTCTCGGGAATTAGACTGCCGTTTAATTATAACCTCCAAAAATAACGTAGGTGAAATTCACAAATCCGGTCCAATGCCCTAAGATTCTCCCTCTGTCCCCTTGTAAGCCCTTTTCTGGCTTGTAGTAATCCCTCGTTTTGACCCCGTTTCTGCCTTTTGCCACAAGGAACAGTTACTTACAATAGTAACAACAACAAGCAGCCTAAAGACATTGACCTTTTGGTTGAAATAAGGTCTGAGTGTGATCTTCTTACCAGGGTTTAGCTCCAGGGGGGTACATCCTATAATGGCCTAGAAGGGGTAAAATTTTTCAGGCTTCAGGTATATGAAAGGGTGCTAGGGATTTCGCTAGCTGAAGTATATAAAAAATAAAAAATGATGAGAAATTTAAATAAAGTGTATGAAATCGTGGGGAAGTCTGTGATTTTGGTCTATAAAAAGCTCCAGAAGGGCTAACAGATGCACTTTATGACTAAGAAGAAGTCGAGAAAACGAGTGTTTATTTTTTCTCTTATGCTTACGTTTAGATTGATTAACACTCAAGAAATTCGCATAGCTTGAAATCTTCTGTGAAGTCGTTTACTATTTCGTGCTTGATATGTGCTATAAACCTAAGAAAAAGTGGAGAAAACGTGTATTTATTACTTTATACCACTACATGAGAAATTTCTGCAATTTGATTGGCTTAGAGCAGTAGCATTTCAGCTTAATTTGAAACGTTGCTCAAAAGTTACCAAGCACAATCTAGCCTGCAAGCAAGCTCTCCTATTTGGGCAAGCGAAGTCAGCCTCGCGAGAACGCGCGAGAGAGGGGCCGAGGAAAGCCCCTCGCGGCTTCGCCGCTCGCTCACGCGTTCTCGCGAGACTCGCTTCACTCGCCCAAATAGGAGAGCTTGCTCGCAAGTTGCCTGCGTGCAGACGTCTCCGCGTGCAACAAAGGAAATAGGAGACGTCTGCACGCAGGCAAGCTCGCAAGCTTAGCACAATCGGGACACGCCTACTTCTGTCAAAAATGAATATAACAGGGTAAGGGAGTGGAGCCTTCCCTGGGGGTGTTTGCATATCAAACTGAAACCCTTTGCTAGTGTAGAACCACTGCCCGGTTGACCTCAGTTGGAAGAGCGCCAGTCTGCCGAGCAGGAGGTCGCGGGTTTAACCCTCAGCCAGACCATCTTCAGGAAACTGGCAAGATCATGCTGGCTGCGATGTACTATTCAAAATGGGTCGGGAACGTAGAACCCGGTGGTGTGGTCTGTCCTTCTCAGTGGGAACGGGCTCTCATAGTCGTCATGTTGGTTTTCACATGACGTGACTAAGATCCAAACTACAAAACTATCGATCCTACCGAGATTTTACTTTCACGATGCATTAGAGCAGCTGAAAACTAATTTTCATACAAATTTTCTCTTCAAAAGGGTTCTTGGTTTTGTGATAGCGTACGCTTGAATTTCTAAGCTTTTGCGTGACGTGGCATGAGAGCTGTCATGTAGGTTAAAAAAATGACTTGATTCAGGAAATTTTGCTATCTAAACAGCTCGTGTATAAGAAAAAGTATCACTTTTATGTTTATGAGTTTCTCGAAGAATAAATTCACGCTTTTGTAGCAAAACTCGGTAACAGATGTTTTTGTTGGTTTCCGTCCGCCATGTTGGAGCTCATCGAGGTGAGAACCAGCATGGCGTCTCCATACAAATCGCTATAAGTTTGGGTAAAACATTTCTTCGGATATCTCGTATACGAAATATTCCTCTGACCTGAATCTTGGCGAGGGTCTTTGTATATGCACCTCCTTTCATTTCCCAGATTCTGGACTTCATCTATTGAACGGTTTTGATTTTTATTTTGATCTATTTTGAATGGCGTGACACTGAAAACCAGCAATTGCGGTGACGCCTATTTCCTTTTCGTAGACACTTGTTACCATTTGTAATGGTCGATGCCACCATTGGTAAGCAAGCCAAGATTAGTCATGATGGATGTAATATATTCCCTGGATTAAGTTACATTAAGGCAAATAATACGTTTTTGAATAGTGTTAGAAAGAAAGACGTTGAAGCCAAAGTTGAATTTACATTAAGAACTATGGAAAGGGCTAGGGTAGCCTGTTATTGATGCAACAGTTAATAAAGACAGTTTAATTTGCTAGTGTATGTACTTTATGGTTTCGGAATTTTGGCGGGTCGGTGTGCTAGTGTAGTGGTAAGGGAGAAAGATTAGCAAACGAAAGGTCCGGTTCGAGGTCCAGGTTCGACCCTGGGTTGCGATTGTCTTAATAGAAACGCTATCAATGACAGGTCAAAATTTTTTTGTCTTAAAAATGGCAGCGACCATTTACGAAAGGGACAATTGCTGCGATGACCCTGCCTATAAAAGGCCAGTTTTGACTGAGAATAAACTATCCTTGACTGCGAATCGAGATATAATTCCCACTTCTTTTGTTTTCGTAGTTTTTTAGTCACATTAAGTAAAATTTTGGGTTGATATGAAATTGACAGGTTCTAAAGTTGAATTTGTTATCCCCTGTCTTGTTGGCCAAATACGCTTGTAGTCACGTATATTCTAATCGGCGACATGCACAACGAATCAACGAATCACAGGCCTTGTTCAGCACATATATTGTTATAATTCGTAAAAATAAAGTTTAGAACCAAGTTCCTCCTTGTTGGCGCAGTGACCACTTCGTTGGTAAATTTTAATTACAAAATGTCAAATTTATCATGATCGATTTGATTAATGTATCGGGGATGACAATGTGCTTTAAATAATGATTGAAGCTGGTGTAGTTTTGTCTTAATACAAACGTGGTCCGTTCTAACAGTTTGATACTATCATACCGATTATGTACCAATGCGTGGACAAATTGATCTTTGAATACAGTTATCATATTCTAAATCTAACGGTGACTAGCCAATCAAGCAAGAATTTGACTTTGTCCCCTGCTTCGCAGGCGGTTTTTGGTGTGTTTTTCACCGGGGGGTACTCCCTTTTATAAGCCATATAGGTATGTGCCGCCCTAAAGGGTATGGTTTTTGCGCCGTTTTGGTCTGGAATCGGGTATAGTTTACGTAGGAACTACGGTGGTGTATCAATGTGTTCGTCGTTTCAGAATTCCAAATGAATAAGAAAGAGGGTGTAATATGCTAATTCGAAATGGATTTTTAACAAATCTTTTTGTTGCAGTTTTAATCTCAGTAATGATGACATAATTTCTGTCTCATGTCAGTGTTTCTGTTGCGTTTTGTCATCACCTCCAGGTCTGAAAACGGGTATGGATTTTAGAGGCCAGGTCTGAAAACGGGTGCGGAAAATGACATTTTTTTTTGTGTGAAATAAGGTCAGGATTTTGAGAACCGGGCGGCACACCCCCAGCAAGCATTTCCAGGAGTACTCTCCGGAGGTTTTCGTTTATGGTTCGTGAAAGTAAGAAGCAAAGTCGCTTGAAAGCTAAACAGATGTCCAACGAGAAAACCGTAGGCGAGGGGGCGAAAGGAAAAAGCTAGCCTGCGTAGCAAGCGTTTCCAATCGAGTTATTGCGCGAAAGTTAGAGCGGAAGCAAATTTTTTTTGCTCTTGTCCCAGCTTTCTAGACGAAGATCGCGAGGAAATGCTTGCTACGCAGGCTAGGAAAAAGCCAGAGAGGTCGGTCTCTCGTCCTTCTTCGTCGCTCCCCTGTCCCATGTCCCATCGTTTTCTCGTTTGATCACTTACTTTACGACACACGAACAAAATCACACCCAAAAATCCGCCTGTCACGTAGGCTAGTAAGATCGTTAATCTGGAACCATCTTTAATTTCAAGCTTAGCACGAAAAATTCGAGTTTGTGAAATGTGAAAAAGGAGTGAAATCCCTTTTCTAATTGAACGAAAATTTTAACGAATGGGAGAAAATGAATGGGAAAACCTTTGTTTGGTTCAGCACTAGTATCTGTATTCTCGGGCTGGTACGAGCTCCTAGGCTTGATTTCAGCCGCTCTCTTGGGTCCGGTCTTCTTCTTCCGGGAGAAGCGCGCGCTCATTTGCCGAACAGCTGGTGGTAATCGAGCCTGACCCGTTCCCCTTAAGACGAGAACAAGAGTTTTGTTTGATACACAGTTCATCAGGACATGAACATAATTATCTAGTGTGAAACAAACTAGGCGTTGTCTAAACGTCGAGTAATTAATGTAAAGTTGTCGTACTTGTGGAAACCGGAAACATTTGTTTTAAATTTGAAAAGATATATTTCGTGTCAAACAATTTTTAAACCAAAGTTCAACAACATAGAGTAAGATTGTTTTAGATACAACAATGGTTTGTTTCAAACGCTGTCTGCAAAGTTAGAATTTGCCAGTCTTCCACATGCAAGCAGTATTATGAACTTCCTTGGTTGTTCATTTCAAAATAGTAAATTAACGCAAGGAAACATTCATGCGTCAAGAATAGAGAATCTGCCAGTAATATGCACTGCTATGTTCATTTGGGTTATAGCCGGGTCTATCCCTTTTTTATACCATGCTAGGGTATCTTTTACGGTCACAATAATGTCAATACAGTTGTTTGTATTTTTTCACTGGGTTTATACCTTATCGTGTCTTGTGAAGTGGTCTAAGAAAACGTTCTTTCATATCTTTTTTAATTCCTTCGAAATCCAGCAGTGTTGGTGGGTGGGAGTAGGGGAGGGAGCGATGCTATAGTTTTACCAAGACAACTTATAAATAAGATAAATTATTACAGTAATTAAGAGCATAGCGTGTTTACTAGTACGAAGTAAAATTAAAGGTGTTTTGGCAATTTAATCGTTAATTTTTATAGAGCTGTTACATTCAGGTATATTTTTATATTTTTGAAGTTAAAGATTCAGTTAAAAAAAACATATTGTCATTTTTAGACCACATTCTTACCGCTTCAGTTTACTTGCCTGTATATATCAAAATTTAATCCCTGCCCATTTGCAGTAGCAAAATTGAATTCCGGTATCTTTAAAGGTAAAGGTCCTTATTTACGTTGGTAACTCCTAACAGCACTTCAACTGACAAACCAAAGGCCGGAAAGAGAGGGAAAGGGGTCGAAAGAAGGATTTGAGGTCATAACTCGAAATCGAACTCGGAACCTCCCGTACTGACAGCCGCGCAGCACCCTCGGAAACCAAGGGGCAGATAGTGGGGGCGAGGGAAAGTCTAAACGGGCAGGAAAAATTACCTTCCCTCGCCCCCACTATCTGCCCATGGGTCTCCAAGGATAGCCGCGCAGTAACCGACTATGTGTCAATCCTTGCTCCTCCTCCTAATGTGTTTTACACTTTTTTGTTTGACTTTTTTGATTTTTAAACTGTTCTCTCCACCTTTCTTGCCCTACAGGAGAGGAAAGTAAATCTCCTCCATTAACCGGCCTCCCATTAAGCGGTCACCCTCTATTAAGCCGCCACTGATCAACTGATCAAAGTCGCGAAATAATTGGATCCAGCGGCCTCTTTTCGGCCATTAAGTGGCCATCAAGCGCTTGATACACTTACTTTGGCTTTATTTTAAAAGTATGATGAAAGAAAAGGAGGTGAAGATCCCGACCGAACTAGTGTTGAAACCCGCCCTCCCCAGTTACACAATTTACTTTCCAATTCTCTCCCCTCCTCCATCCCTGACATTTTATTAGCCTACCCCCTGAGTTTCGCGATCGAGTTTCTGCGATACAATTACTTCTGCTTTATATACTATCGTTGTTCCTATCTCTCTTTACTTAACTTTCATCCAATTTTTAGTATTTGGGCGTCGCCCAAATAGAGTAATCGAGATCGCGTGTAATGATTCAAAAGTTGCAATAGGCACGCAACACGTGCGAAAGTGAACAAGCCACGCGACGCGATCCCGGGATCCCGGCATCACAATACTGGGATGCCAGCTAGCCGGGCTGGCTCGGTTTTGTTGGAAGGACTTTCGGAGGGGACTAGCTAGCCGTTACAACAAACAACCTTTTTTTGACTCACTGGTGGTTTAATCACTTTCAGCTACTAACTTTTACAATTCTCTCTCTAGTAAATTAGTGTTTCACCCATTTTTATACCAGCCGGAAAACCATCTGCTTAGTGTTAACTAATGCTGACGTAAGTCTAATCTGATTGGTTGAGACAGCCTTATAAACATGAAACTTCCGAGGTAATTACTTTGTCAAAACGGTTTTTCTACCTAAGTTTTCACTATTAAGCTTAGATCAACTGGCCAATACAAAACATGGAGAACAATACAAAAACTACAAAGTAGCCAGTCATACTCAAACTTTTTATAACAACAGATAAGAAAGTACTAAAACTACAGTTTGAAAATCTTAGGTTGTTGTCTATTTACAGAAGGTGTTAAGCTTCTTCATTGAAAATGATTGGCTAAAACTTTTGCATAAATTAACTACGGACGTGATCGCAAAACTCAGAGGAAAAATTAAAAATGCAATTCAAAGTACAAGGCAGAATTTAGAACAATGGTTTTTTTACCCACAAAAACACCTATTACAAAAAGGCTCTAAAAAATAAAAGCGAATAGAAGTGTTAACGAGGAGATGCATCAAATTGGTATATCTCCTTTGCATCGAATTCATGTCAGGAGAAACTTTCTATCGATCATCAAATAAACTTAAAAGCTAAAACTGTTAGTAGTGAAATAGCTTACTAAAATCACAAGAATGCTTACAACAACTCTACTACAAACATATATCGTATCAAATGCCACAAGTGGTTAAAGTAACTCTTCGATCAACATTTTCCTTCAACAAGACCAAAAAAAATGAATCAACAGAAAATCAGTTTCTCATTTCGAGGGAGGATGTCATTTGATCAGTGTTGATGCGCAGGAGTTGAGCACCAAGTAAAATGAGTCAAATTGTTTTTTTTATGATAATTCCCCGTCACCTATAGATATTTCCCGAATGGAATGAATTTTTGTAATAAATCCCAAACACCAAATAAAATCCCTTTAATAATTTTAAGTCAAAAATATAAGCACTACGAATATTTTTCATCGCTTTCATTTTTATTGTTTAACAGTTGTCACATAATCGCAAAGTTCATTTTTGTTGCGTTTAAGTAACCAAGGTGCCGAGATCTCAGTAAAGAGAGCTATCCCGCCTGATGTAATCAGGCTCTTAGTTCTATAACCAGATTTAACGCCCTTCCCCTTGACCTCACCGATTTTTCAAAGCTCCCCGAACACACACACAAAACTTCAGCACCCACCCCCCCCCCCCCCCCCCCCCCCCCCCCCCCCCCCCCCCCCCCCCCTCCCCACCACCAATCCCCCCCTTTCCTTCTTCCTTTTCAAAACATTTTTAAAAAAAAAAAAAAAAAAAAANATAACATTGAAAATAGCCAAAATTGCCTACTAATAAGCAAAGGTGCCTATAAAACAAGTTTAAAGTGCACACCACTGGTCGCAAAACAAGCTACCAAACGTGCGCTGTAATTTTCAGACATATAATTTTTTTTTCGGAATAAAGTGTTCCTACTCTCGCGAGGAATGGTCCCACTCGTAATTGTGACAAACTAGAAACTGATGGTTCCACTTCAGATAATTAGGGCTGCTTCCCTGCATTCTTCATCATACCTATACAATAACAACAAAAACAGCAAAAAGTAACGTTAGCAAGCTAGCTGGCAGAAGGAAAGGAGAGTGATTTCAGCTAGCGAGGCATAACATTTTCACAACTGACTTCTAAGAGTGCGCTCGATTGATCGTATTCCAGAATAAGAATACACAAGTTTTTGTTACAAACCGCTTCTATTCTGCAAATTATTGAGCCATTTAAAGTTTATATAGATCAGGATACTTAATTATTTCAATCACTTTTGTAGATATTGCATTACAATAAAAGCCAAAAGAAGTGATTTCTAGCGAGTTTATTCCATTTAATCTTATTTGGGACGCGGAATACGGTGAATCGAAATGCCCTAAATCTGTTAAACTGGTAACTTCAACCAAAGATAAGACTTATTGTAGATTTAAAGAATCTTGCATACCGTAAATCCTCTATTAAGCCCCACTCTCTAATAAGCTTCCCTTTTCAGGGAAAGAAAGTTATTGAAACCCCCTCTCCCTATTCTCATATAATAGACGTATGATAGATGTATTAATTTATCACGACTGTAGCACCTCATGTGGACTGATCATTCGGTATGATTTATTTACGAGCTGGAAGTTCGCATTTGATTTTAATCTTTGGCTTTATGACCTCCAACTTCATGTGCCTCATCTTTTCCACTTTGGGTTTTAGGCCTTATGGAGAAATGGTACCTCAATCTTCGCTTAATCAAATAAGCCCCTCATCCCTCTAAAACGTTTTTGAAATGAATAACCCCCCCGAGGGGGCTTAATGGAGGACTTACCATATCTGAAGACGTTCCTAAGCGAACACTTCCGTAAAATAAGCGACCGGAAATTTGATCTTGGCATTTTGGGTCGGCGCTTACGTCAGGTTCGACTATAAGTTTCAACGGAACGAAATCAAACGGGACCAACGACACACTGAAATGTAAAGATATCATGAGATTTGAAGTAAATTTTGTAGTGTTCAACTGCCAAACAAACTACCGAAATCACACTCCTTTGTTGCTGTCAACTTGACCTGTGATAGGTAGATTGACGTTAAGTGGCACCGGTTGAGTTCGTTGCCCTATAAAGCGAAATGACTGAAATGACTTTTGCAAAATTTAAACCTGGGATCATAATCCCTGCTTATCCCAAAATACCTTTCTATTTAATCGCTGCCTTCAAACAGCGTTACGTCATCACCAATGAGCACAAACGGCGCCCAGTACTTCACTGCGCTAAAGCGGTCAGATTCTCGCATGGATTTCATGGCTTTATTCAAGGTCTCACTGGCACTTCGTCCAGTGACTAATTGTTGGTAGAAAAACTTCATGAATTCCATTGTAGCTTCGTCGTCGATCGCCCACAGGGACACCAGAACAGAACGAGCACCAGCACCCAAAAATGCCCGTGCGATGCCGACCACACCCTCTGATTTGACTTCTCCCCGAGCACTATGACAACAACTAAGTACAACAAGTCTTGCCCTAATCCGCGCCTTTAAAACATCTTTCATAGTTAAGAGATAGTCCTCCNTTCATGGCTTTATTCAAGGTCTCACTGGCACTTCGTCCAGTGACTAATTGTTGGTAGAAAAACTTCATGAATTCCATTGTAGCTTCGTCGTCGATCGCCCACAGGGACACCAGAACAGAACGAGCACCAGCACCCAAAAATGCCCGTGCGATGCCGACCACACCCTCTGATTTGACTTCTCCCCGAGCACTATGACAACAACTAAGTACAACAAGTCTTGCCCTAATCCGCGCCTTTAAAACATCTTTCATAGTTAAGAGATAGTCCTCCTTGTCTAAAATCAGGGACTGCCTATGTGCGTTTGGGGCCAAGGCAATTTCTCCTGTTTCCATTTTACCATGAGCAGCAATGTGCACCAAAGCAACCGAGGAGATACGTCTCAAAACTTCATCTTTTGTTGCCTGCTTTCCAACGAGAGGTACAGTTTGAAGTATTTCCCCGATCATTTGCACTTCCTTTTTGGCCCACTCTAACTGCTCTAGCCTCATTTCTTCATAAACTACCTCCTGTACCCACGGATCGCCGACGAGAAGAGCACCAGTCTTGCTGTGCCAATCTGCTGGACAGTTTTGGATTAATCGCAGAGTAGAAAGTGAGGGAAGCAAACGAATTCTAAAAGTTTGGCAGAGATACTTTGATTTCACGTCCATGAAAGCAGCATAAGGCGCCAAACACAGAGGTCCTTGTGGAACAATCACAACCTCATCGCTATGGAGTAAGTCTCTTATAGGGTCTATAACAACCTCGTAAAATGTTTGTAATGGCTTTGTCTCAAAAGATGAGGAAGGAGACCTCGGCGTACTGGATCTTTCTTCTGCTAACTTTCTTTTGCTTCGGTTCCTTAGTGAGCGATCTTCACAGTTAACATCAGCTCTCACACCTATTTTTTCATGTGCAGTCTCCAATAGAGACTGAAAATAGGTTGTGACAGACATATCGATCTGAATTCTTCTAGTTTTGATTTCTTCCCCTTTCTCGTTAACCCAGAGAACTATTCCTCCCTCCCTGATACCTATGAAAACTGTATTTGATGGTAGGTAACTAAGAATGTCAGGTGTTGTTGCAGAGAGTGTTCCTATTTCTGGACGTAACCCTTTGAACCCATACTTGAACTTCAGAAGATCATTCAAAGATTGTGCACGTCCATGATCAGCAGTTAAAAGTGCCTCAACGACTTTACCCTGCTTAAACTGCAGCCCCCATAGCCTCAAATAAATATCATCATAGGTACTCCCAAGGCTAATCTTCCATTCGTCATTAGATATAAGATTTCCCCTGATATGGTCCAAGGCAACAACACTGTTCTTGTAATAGTGAACAGCTTTCTGGAAATCTCCGAGACTGTCATAAGCGCAGCCAAGATTACAGTACGCTTTTCCTTCTCCTGCCCTGTCTCCCACTTCTTTCAAAATTTTGAGGTGTCGTTCATGGTACTCTATAGCTTTCTGAAAGTCTCCAAGAATGTGATTGGCGCTGCCAAGATTACCGTACGATTTTCCTTCTCCTGCCCTGTCTCCCACTTCTTTCGAAATTTTGAGGTCTCGTTCATGGTACTCTATGGCTTTCTGGAAATCTCCAAGACTGTGATAGGCGATGCCAAGATTACCGTACGCTTTTCCTTCTCCTGCCCTGTCTCCCACTTCTTTCGAAATTTTGAGGTGTCGCTCATGGTTCTCTATGGCTTTCTGGAAATCTCCAAGATTTCCAAAGGCGTTGCCAAGATTACCATACGCTATTCCTTCTCCTGCCCTGTCTCCCACTTCTATCGAAATTTTGAGTTTTCGTTCATGGTACTCCACGGCTTTCTGGAAATCTCCAAGACTGTGATAAACGTTGCCGAGATTACCGTACGCTTTTCCTTCTCCTGCCCTGTTTCCCACTTCTTTCGAAATTTTAAGGTCTCGTTCATGGAACTCTATGGCTTTCTGGAAATCTCCAAGACTGTGATAGGCGTTGCCAAGATTACCATACGCTATTCCTTCTCCTGCCCTGTCTCCCACTTTTTTGGAAATTTTGAGCTCTCGTTCGTGGTACTCTAAGGCTTCCTGGAAATCTCCAAGACTGTAATAGGCGTTGCCGAGATTTCCATACGCTTTTCCTTCTCCTACCCTGTCTCCCACTTCTTTCGAAATTTTGAGTTTTCGTTCATTGTACTCTATGGCTTTCTGGAAATCTCCAAGATTTCCAAAGGCGTTGCCAAGATTACCGTACGCTTTTCCTTCTCCTGCCCTGTCTCCCACTTCTTTGGAAATTTTGAGATGTCGTTCATGGTACTCTATGGCTTTCTGGAAATCACCAAGACTGTGATTGGCGTTGCCAAGATTACCATACGCTTTTCCCTCTGTTGCCCTGTCTCCCACTTCTTTCGAAATTTTGAGTTGTCGTTCATAGTACTTAATGACTTTCTGGAAATCTCCAAGACTGTGATAGGCGATGCCAAGATTACCGTACGCTTTTCCTTCTCCTGCCTTGTCTCCCACCTCTTTCGATATTTTGAGGTGTCGTTGATGGTACTCTAGGGCATTCTGGAAATCTCCAAGATTTCTAAAGGCGTTGCCAAGATTACAGTACGCTATTCCTTCTCCTGCCCTGTCTCCCACTTCTTTCGAAATTTTGAGTTGTCGTTCATGGTACTCTATGGCTTTCTGGAAATCTCCAAGACTGTGATAGGCGTTGCCGAGATTACCGAACGCTTTTCCTTCTCCTGCCCTGTTTCCCACTTCTTTCGAAATTTTGAGGTCTCGTTCATGGAACACTATGGCTTTCTGGAAATCTCCAAGACTGTGATAGGCGTTGCCAAGATTACCGTACGCTATTCCTTCTCCTGTCCTGTCTCTTACTTTTTTGGAAATTTTGAGGTCTCGTTCGTGGTACTCTAAGGCTTTTTGGAAATCTCCAAGACTGTAATAGGCGTTGCCGAGATTACCATACGCTTTTCCTTCTCCTGCCCTGTCTCCCACTTCTTTCGAAATTTTGAGGTGTCGTTCATGGTACTCTATGGATTTCTGGAAATCTCCAAGATTTCTTAAGGCGTTGCCAAGATGACAGTACGCTTTTCCTTCTCCTGCCCTGTCTCCCACTTCTTTCGAAATTTTGAGTTGTCGTTCATGGTAGTCTTTGGCTTTCTGGAAATCTCCAAGACAGTCATAGGCGTTACCGAGATTACCATACGCTATTCCTTCTCCTGCCCTGTTTCCCATTTCTTTCGAAATTTCGAGGTCTCGTTCATGGTACTCTATGGATTTCTGAAAATCTCCAAGATTTCTAAAGGCGTTGCCAAGATTACAGTACGCCATTGCTTCTCCTGCCCTGTCTCCCACTTCTTTGGAAATTTTGAGGTGTCGTTCATGGTACTCTTTGGCTTTCTGGAAATCTCCAAGACCGTGATAGGTGTTGCCAAGATTACGGTACGCTATTCCTTCTCCTACCCTGTGTCCCACTTCTTTCGAAATTTTGAGGTCTCGTTCATGGTACTCTATGGCTTTCTGGAAATATCCTAAACTGTGATAGGCGTTGCCAAGATTACAGTACGCCATTCCTTCTCCTGCCCTGTCTCCCACTTCTTTGGAAATTTTGAGGTGTCGTTCATGGTACTCTTTGGCTTTCTGGAAATCTCCAAGACCGTGATAGGTGTTGCCAAGATTACGGTACGCTATTCCTTCTCCTACCCTGTGTCCCACTTCTTTCGAAATTTTGAGGTCTCGTTCATGGTACTCTATGGCTTTCTGGAAATATCCTAAACTGTGATAGGCGTTGCCAAGATTACAGTACGCCATTCCTTCTCCTGCCCTGTCTCCCACTTCTTTGGAAATTTTGAGGTGTCGTTCATGGTACTCTTTGGCTTTCTGGAAATCTCCAAGACCGTGATAGGTGTTGCCAAGATTACGGTACGCTATTCCTTCTCCTACCCTGTGTCCCACTTCTTTCGAAATTTTGAGGTCTCGTTCATGGTACTCTATGGCTTTCTGGAAATATCCTAAACTGTGATAGGCGTTGCCAAGATTACAGTACGCCATTCCTTCTCCTGCCCTGTCTCCCACTTCTTTGGAAATTTTGAGGTGTCGTTCATGGTACTCTTTGGCTTTCTGGAAATCTCCAAGACCGTGATAGGTGTTGCCAAGATTACAGTACGCTTTTGCTTCTCCTGTCCTGTCTCCTACTTCTTTCGAAAGTTTGAGGTATATTTCAAGGTAGTTTAGGTCGTTCTTGAAATCTTTAAGGTAAACATGGACATCAACAATATTACTATTTCCCTTTTCTTCCTCTCTTTTTTCTCCAACTTCATTGTCAATCTCGTTAGTGTTTCCAAGATTACAGTTCTCCTCTCTTTGTCCTTTCTCAGCCATTCCAATAACAAATTGCAGATAAAATCGACTGCTTTTTCAGAAGATATTTGTGGATGTCACATTTTTTGCTGGCTTTACCATTTCAGCTCTTCTGAAAAAAAAGTATAGATATAGTGTTGTTTCATTTTTCCGTTGATACCATTTCTCTTTATGTACGATAACGTACGATCACAATGAAGGGGAAAATGTTAAAATAAAACCTAGAGAAAAAGCTTATTTATTAGCTGTTTTATTATTCGTTTTTGTCTATCACAGTCGCATTTGGTTTGCCACAAACTAGTGATCCTTCTATGTGTTTTTATCGCTGTGTAATGGGACTGGGGTCTTCTCTAAAAAAGGAAAAAGACATTCTTTTCTTAATAATAGTCGAAATTAAAAAAGAAAAACAGTTTTCCCATTGTTTAAACATGGTGTATATAAATCGTCTATCTACTCATTGTACTTTCATCTACCTTCCACTGAAAATACTAAAGCTGTTGCATTGGGAACAAACTACAAACCGGGCAAGCAGGAACATTGAAAACACTCAACTATTGGAAAGTGAACTTAGGGTTAACATCTCTTGCTAGGAGAATACAATTGTACAGCAAATGAAAGGAATACCTATTTCTTCACCAACATTTATTTTAAGCTTGTGGATTTTCTGTCATTTATAATGGTTCATATGTAAACTGGAAAGGGCCTCCCCCTCCCGGCCCCTGGCCCTGCTCGTTTCCAGCTGAAGTCTAACTCGATGTAAAAACCTGGGGCGTTTTTCTTTTTTCTTTTGTTACCTCCTATTTTCTTTAGTACAGCTCTGCTATCTTGACTTCTTTGAGTTTCTTGGTGTCACGTCACTTACCAGAAATGCAATTTTTTTTAAATACGCCCGTCCGAGGATGAGCCGGTTTAGAAAGATTTCTGAATGCAACTTGTCCTTATAATTTCACACAAATGATTACTATGACTATGATTTGGTACAGTTGAACCTCCATTAAGCGGCCACCCTTGGGGTACCAGCAAGTGACCTCTTAAAACCAGGATTATAGGGGTTGGCCGCTCAAAAGAGGTTCGTCATAAACCTCGTCATAAATTATTATTGAGGGGGGGAGGGGGTGATTTTGAAAAAAAATTCCAGCAAGCTCTTGTCGGAAGAAAAAAAACTGCATGCAAAGCAAATGAAATAAAAAATACTTGCACTGCTGTAAAAAAAAATGTTACCCAGTTATATCGTCATTCAGAGAGCTTTACAAAATCACAGTGAAACTGCGACCATTCTTCCCTTAATTGCTACCTCTGGTTATGCTGCAGAATAATTGCTTCATCTATGCCGGCAATGTATTATAATCGACAAATCAAGAAATCAGTGTCGTCTTCAAGTAGACTGTGGTTAAGAAAGTCAGGCTTGCTGTTTTTTCTCTCCAGTTTCTTTTCCGTGGCCTGAAAGAGGATCAGTGCCCAGGAAGTGACCTGTTTCTACAGCAAAAAGCACAAGGAACTTATACCATCACTTTGTTTTTATGTTCAACAATGGGGTACTAAATTTTTTAAGTGGACTGAAAAAATGGTTGAGCAAAAATTATTAGAGCTATTTTCACATATTACAAACCATGATCCACTATAAATTTCAATTCTGCTTTCACAACTGCTATGGGGATTTCAGTCGTCTTTTAAATTGTAAGTGATGATTCTAGCAGCGTTTACCATACTATGAGCATTTTCGAACTGCTTTTTGCTATTTGGGCCATTTTTAATTAAGAATCTAAACATTTTCACATTTGCTTGATGTGCACCACTTTATAATATGACAATATTATAATGACTTCATATATAACATGAGCCGAAAGGATGACTTTAAGAAAACATAGCTAAACAAGAATGATTTTGTATAGCGTCTAAATTTTAAGGCTTTGCAGCTCCATATCAGGACTATTACTGCAATACCCACAATGTAAATGTAATTACATTTTTGCAAAACTCGGACTCCTTCCCCCCCACCCCTTTTTAAAAAAAGTTAAATGGTCGGCCTCTTATTTTAAAACAAACACGCAACGGGGGCAGCATCGTGTGGGCAGCATTACTGGTTCACGATCGGTCGTCACCTTCTATTTCAGGCTGTTTTCCTTCATCATATTCTTAAAATTGTGAAGAGACCAGAACCTAATTGACGGGGACTACCTCGGCGGGTCGGCCTCACAAGAAAAACACTCGTTCTCTTTTGGTTCAGTAAACTTCGTATTCTCTAAACTTCAACGTTACAACACAACTTAATCTCACGGGTGTCTGTAAAACGCGGACCGGATACCTGCGGATGGCGGATGCGGATGGGAAAATGCGGATAGAAAAATGTGGATGGAAAAAAAATGCGGATAACAAAAAAAGTAAGAGGGAAAAAACGAGAAACGCGGATGGTAAAAAAATAAATATACAAATAAACAAACAAACAATTAAGGAAAGAAATCTTTCTTTCAAGTCGCTGTCACATGGTTGGTCCCTTCACTTACATACAGAACGTGATACCAATAGTTGGCACAGTTTTGTACCCTGTAATTCCTTTCATTAATGTCACAGAAATAAGGACGCTTCGTTCCTCCTTCTTAAATGCACACATGCTTGGTGCACTTCTCCTTTAAGTGTTTAGCTTAAGGCTTGCAGGCAAGATAAAAAGCTCAAAAAATCGGCTTGCAAAGGTTCGCTTATTTTGCACTGGCCCCGTTTAATATTCTTCCCTTTACCCAA